AGGCCGAGCTGGCCCGCCTGAAGGTGCAGCAGAAGGTGAGCCGCAACGAGGACCTGCTGGCCCCTGCGCAGGCAGTGAGCCCCGGAGGTGAGTGGGTCTTGCGGTCGGGTGGTCTCCCTGAGCTGGTGACAGTGGTGGGTCGTGTCTTGACTCGACTGGCTCCCCCAGCCTCCCAGGTACCACGCTACGTCCGAGTCAACGCCCTGAAGACTTGTGTGGATGATGTGATTGACTTCTTCAAGCGCCAGGGCTACTCCTACCTGGGCAAGGCAGCCAGGTAAGTGTTTCTTTCTGCCGTCCCACCTTATCTGGGATGTCAGCAAGTGGCAAGGGCTTGGGATGAGGTCCTGTGGGCTGAAGCATTGTTAGTCTTGGTGCTCATGGTGTCCAGGTTGGGGTCTCTGTCACTCGCCACTCTATCTTTCTGCCTCTCTGGGTGTTGCCTGGTGCTGAGGTTGAGAGGAGGCGTGGGGCAAAGAGGGTTCTCAGCCTGGGTGCTAGTTGTGGGCATGGTGAAGCAGGACTGTGTGTTCATCTTCCCTGTGCCTCGTGGGCAGTGTGGAGGAACTGAGGGCCCTCTCCGGGAAGAAATTCTTGTTGGACCTTCATCTCCCAGAGCTGCTAGTTTTCCCTCCGCAGACAGACTTCCACGACAACCTGCTGTACACTTCAGGACACATAATTCTGCAGGACAAGGTGGGGGAGCTGGGAAGCAGGAGGCTGCAGGGGCGGGAAAACCACTGACATGGGTGGAGGTTTGGCCCCTTCCTATGTGCTGAGGTCTGGGCTTGGGTTGGCTTTGATGAAGCACTGGAAGTCTAAATGGAAATTGTGAATGCAGCCTGCAGCTGTGGGGCTCTCCTGTGGCTTTCCATAGCCTGTAGGTACAGGATGAACTGCTCTGAACTGGGCTGTAAAACCCCACATAGGAGCTGCGGACCAGCAGCTGGGAGGAGTGTGGGGCTGTGGGCCAGGTAGATGCTTCCAGTAGTGGTGGTGGACTTGGCCCCATGTTGCTGTGGCTGCCTGTGACACTGCAGCATCAGTCGTGCCCTGAGGAGGGGCCAGTGGTGCTTGCTGCCTGCACCTCTCATAGGGCTTTGCCCTTTTGCAGGCCAGCTGTCTCCCTGCCTTCCTCCTCAGCCCTGCCTCTGGCTCTCATGTCATCGATGCCTGTGCTGCCCCTGGGAACAAGACCAGCCACCTGGCTGCCATCCTGAAGAACAAGGGGTGAGGGCATGTTTGTGTGCTGGGGGGGAGGAAGGGGTGCAGGTGGCCCTGGCCCCCCTGAGCCCAGAGGAGCACAGGGTGGCAGGAAGAGCTGCAGCCTGTCACCCTGCCCTGCTAATCCATGCTGATGCCTGCTTGTCCCCAGGTGGGCTGGTGGCTCCAGTAGTGCTGGGACATTGGAAGGGCCTGAGGGCACGTGAAGTCACGTAGGGGTTTAATTCCTGGTCCCTGACCCCACTCTCTGCCTGCCACTGGCCCTGCTCAGTACTCCTGCCCTGGGGAGTGGCTCCTGAGCTCTGCTGGCTCAGCATATGGCCGGTGTTTGGGGCTGCTGGGGCAGCCGGCCACTGCCAGTGTGGTTCCTGGGGTTGGGCGGGGACATTCATGCCTCTCTTGGGTGCCGGGCTCTGCCTTCAGCCAGATCTTTGCCTTTGATGTGGACACCAAGCGCCTGGCCACCATGAACACCATGCTGATGCGGGCTGGGGTCACCAGCTTCCAGCTGGCCCAGCAGGACTTCCTGACTGTGGATCCCGCAGACCCCAAGTACAGCAAGGTGACCTACATCCTCCTTGACCCATCCTGCAGCGGCTCAGGTAGCGAATGCGTGGGGCTCCGGGCACCCCACCCGGACTCTGGGTGTGGGGACCTCTGGGCGATGGCTGCTCTCCCTGCAGGGATGGTGAACCGGCTGCCAAGGGAGGAGGCTGCCCCGAGCGCCGAGCGGCTGCAGGCGCTGGCTGGCTTCCAGCGCAAGGCCTTGAGCCATGCCCTGAGCTTCCCGGCGCTCCAGCGCCTGGTCTACTCCACCTGCTCGCTGCACCGGGAGGAGAACGAGGATGTGGTGCATGCCGTGCTGCAGGAGTGGGGTTCAGCCTTCGGGTGCGCTGGCTGTGGGGCATGTGGAGGGATGTGGCACAGAATGCTGTGGGTCTTGGCACTGACCATTGTCCTGCGCCACAGGCTGGTGAACGCCTTTTCTTCCTGGCCCTGCCGAGGACTCGCTGCCTTCCCTGGGGCAGAGTGCTGTCTCCGCGCCTCTCCTGCAGACACGCTCACCCACGGCTTCTTTGTGGCTGTCCTGGAGCGGCACAGGGAAGGGGCTGTTTCCCCCAGGTGAGAGGAGGGCCCGGGGCGGGGCTCTGCCTGCTTCCAGCAGCTTACTGCTGGGGTACCCAGGGGTAGGGTGTTGCCTTCCTAGCATGAAGAGGAGGGAAGGTGGAGGGGTCTGGCAGTAGCAGGCATGGGAAGAGAGGGCAGGAGCTCTTCTTTGTGGCTGTCCTGGAGCGGCACAGGGAAGGGGCTGTTTCCCCCAGGTGAGAGGAGGGCCCGGGGCGGGGCTCTGCCTGCTTCCAGCAGCTTACTGCTGGGGTACCCAGGGGTAGGGTGTTGCCTTCCTAGCATGAAGAGGAGGGAAGGTGGAGGGGTCTGGCAGTAGCAGGCATGGGAAGAGAGGGCAGGAGCTGCAGTAC